GATCTCTGATGCTCATGGCTTGGCAGGATTAACATAGTAAAAATGGCCATCTTACCAAAAGCAATCTAAAGATTCAATACAATTCCCATCAATTAATTCTTTATAGACCTTGAAAGAAAAATTCTCAACTTCATATGGAATAACAAGAAACCCAGAATTGCTAAAACAATCCTGTACAACAACAGATCTTCTGGAGGTATCTCCATCCCTGATCTCAAGCTGTGCTATAGAGCAACAGTTATAAAAACTGCATGGTACTGTCCTAGAAACAGAATGGTGGATCAATGGAACCAAACAGAGGACCCAGAAATAAACCACACACTTACGGACACCTGATCTTTGACACAGATGCCAAATCCATACAATGGAAAAAAGATAGCATCTTCAACAAATGGTGCTGGTCTAACTGGATGTCTGCATGTAGAAATAGATCTATGCAAATAGATCCATACTTATCACCCTTAACAAAACTAAAATCCAAGTGTATCAAAGACCTCAATATAAAAACGAACACTCTAACGTGTTAGAAGAAAAAGCGGGGAAGAACCTAGAACTCATTGGCACAGGAGACAAGTTCCTGAACAGAACACCAACAGCACAGGCTCTAAAATCAGCAATCAATAAATGAGACCTCATGAAACTAAAAAGTTTCTGTAAAGCAAAGGACACTGTCATCAGAACAAAACAACAGCCTGCAGACTGGGAAAGGATCTTCACCAACCCTGTATCAGAAAGAGGGCTAATATCGAGAATATATACAGAACTTAAGAAGTTAGAAGGCAACAAATCAAGTAACCCAGTTAAAAAATGGGTACAGTGCTAAACAGAGAACTCTCAATAGAGGAACATCAAATGGCAGAGAAACACTTAAAGAAATGGTTAACATCCTTTGATTCTCTTTACCAATTAAATCCCCTTTGTGATGCCCAGGAACTCTGGGGGCAGAGCCTACCTCAGAGTGCGACCCAACAACAGGAGTCAGATCACTGAAGAAGTCCGACTCTCCCTTTGCCGTCATCATTCAGACATCAACAGGGCCTCAGCTTTCAGGGGATTCATCGGCTGTGTGGGGAAGCGTCTCTGAGGAGAACTGAGACACACTCTTCTGTGGGTGTAGTGAAAGCCACTAGCGGTTACTTTACTGCTACATCATTTAGCAGACAGGGCCTGGGACTGCTTCACTCATTGTCCTTGTCTCTGTTCTCTGCACCAGTGAAGGATTCACACAGTTCATACCTGGGCGAGACTGATGCTCTCTTCTCTCCAGCAGGAGCATGGTTCTCACTGTTGAGCACTATGAAAAGTCCCTCATTTTCCAAAGTTCCCAAAGAACTTATAAAGAGGAAAAAGAAATTGCATTTTCCCAGGGGATCTTATCTTGAGAGGAGGAAAAGGCTGAAGCTTCAGAACAGCCAGAAAAGAACTTGTCTCCAGAAAGGGCTCTCACAGTGTCCTGATGCTTTGCTGGACACCTGGCTGGAGACACAGGGTCTAAGACAACAATTCCACATGACCAGGAATACGTATCCACATTTCTTGTCTTCTATTTAGGCTTTAGCCTCCTGGCCAGGCTGGGAAGGCAGACTCGGGAGTGTGTTTGTCCCTCTTTCCAGTGTGGCCACGCTGACTAAGCCTCCTCTCTCTCTGCCTGACTGGTACCTGTCTAACAGGCCTATTGAGAATGGGTGGTAGGGTCTTGCTTGTTCTGGCTGCCGGGCCCAAGCTCTGATCCTAACTAATCATTCCAGAGGGAGTCAACTGCTTTTGGACAAGTGAGACATTTTTTGTAATATAATTTCCTTTGTGTGAGCTTCCAGAATAAACAGAGAATTAAATGGAGAACAAGGTGAGTTACTGAAGGGAAAGAGTCTAGAGCCCTTGTTTGTATTCAAATGTAAAAATGTCCCTTGAGGACAGCAAGAAAGAGAATGCAGTATTTGCCTCTGGCCAGCAGATGGCAGTGTTCAAACCAATTCTGGTCAGTATCCATCAAGACTGACAACTCGGTTGTTGAGCAATCTTTTACCATTTCGTGCCAGTTGTTAGAGAGGCAGGGAGTTAAACCAGACCCACGAAGAATTATTAGTTGTTATTTTCTCGTATAATATAATCATACAATAAGGGAGTAGCTGTGAAGATACTTCAATGTCAATGATGTGGTACGGGGAACCCGATGTCTGCCTGTACGTACTAAGTCCCATTAATAAAAGAAATTTAAAATTTACTCAGAAATAAGCCCAAGTACCATGTTACAAAAGTTTCAGAGGAAAACAATAAAACAAGCAAGCTGAAGTTCCCAGCATCTTCTGGAGAGGAGGTAGAGAAACATCCATTTGTCATAGGCATGAGGTCAGAGAAGCTAGGAAAAGGCCTAAAGCAGGTTGGAGATTTAAGTCCATGTCTGAAAAAGAGATTGAGAAAAGCAAAAGAAAAAGAAAGACCATGTTCATACTGAGTTCAGAGGACACCTGGCTCCTGGTGACGATTAAACTGTGGACACATGGTTATGAATGGAGACGATTTATTTAAAAATGGAAAGCTCGCCGGAGAAAGGAGCAGGTCAGTGTGCTGAGCTGCTGAGCAGACACCAGGCCATGAGGCCGACAGTGGGACCAGGCCTTTCCATAGTCCCTGCCTCTTCCGTTTGCATTGCGCTGGCTTTGCTCACACCTACTTTTCTGTAAATAAAGCCCAGGTGACAAAGGGCCTCCATCCTCCTCTGTAAGCTAATCCCATCAACAGCAATCTTGGTTTTCAGACTCCAGCGCCGTCTCTCCTACCGCAGCGGGGAGGAGCGTGTTACACAAGAACCACTACTGTACCGGCAGGCATGTTGTGCCCAGTTGTTGCTGTAGCTTCCATGCTTCAGAGCTGGGTAAGCGTTAATGACTGCTTTCTACTTGGATTTAAGGTCAGCTCCACATGACAGAAACCAGGCTTGGTGTGGCAGACCTGGCCGAGAACCCATGGCTGGGGAGCTCATGGCCAGAGCAGACCAACTACTATTACTAAATGCATCAAACCGCCTCTCAATTCCCGTCTCTGTGCAGTGTGTAAGCGCAGCTCTGAACCCTCAGAGAACCTCATCCTGCTGGGATGGCGATTGATACAGAAACCCACAGTTAAAGTGCTGAGGATCAGTGACAGCAGACAGTACAGCCCTAAACGGGATGTCCATTTCACAGACCCTGCCTCCCAAAGCTCAGCAGTCACTGAGGAAGGTAGGAAGACCGTGGGAGCCAGTGGCAGTAGGTGACTGCAAGGAAGCAGTGGTTTCCAGACACACTAGGGCATGTGAACTCTCAACAGTTGTGATAGTGTTCACAAGCCTTCAGCAAGCTCAGGCCAGGACGGTTCTGCTCTTGTTTGTGCTAGGATCCTGGAGATCAGGCAGGCCCTCCTGGGTAACGGAGCATCTCCACAGATCAGGCAGCGACCACAGTGTCTGTGGTTGTGTTTGCTCTGCCACACCTCACTTCAGCTGGGTTCTTGGGAAGTGTAGGGTAGAACCCAACCAAATGTTTGACATAGTGAGATCTTAGGAGGCTTAAAGGAACAAGAAAACGGCTTAAAACCCACTGGGACTGAAGTGGAGACTGGGGTTTAGGGAGTAAGTACAAAGGATCCGCAAGTTCTGTCTTGCACTGTGTGATCTCAGAGACGAGGGCAGCCAGGGTCAGCAAACCCTAAGCCACCGCTTTGGGCAGGACATAGGGCAGGGCTGTTCGGATGCTGCTCGTGGACGAATCCCAGGCAACACAGGCCACAGGCAGATGGTGCTGGTGTCTCAGGAAAACAATCTGAGCATTCGCTGGAGGTCAGCTCAGATAAACTTTCAGTATGGCTGAGCCAGAGTGCACGGTCCTTAGATAACTCCGGTTGCAGGTAGGAAGAACCAACCTGGACCTGTCGTTCTTTCTAAGGATTTTTGTGCCCACAAATTCCTTCTCCAGGGTTTCTCATCAGAAGAGGTAGCAAGCTGGCAGTCCACAGAGGCCTAGGTAGGTGACCAAAGATGCTGTGTGCCTATTGAGCAACAGCAGCCAAACGGAAAGTGAGTTATAAACAACTCAAGAGTACATTTTAAAAGCTCACTGGCATGTTTAGATATGAAACCAAACAGAGGAACTGAAGAGACAAGGGCAGAAAGAAACAGAGTTGTTTCTATTGCATTGTCTTTGTAGATAGCAGGCATGGTTTATATTTTAAGAAAATACAATACTGAAAATAAAAAAAAGAAAGAAAGAAAAGAAAGAAACCCAGAAAACAATGTACCTGAAACTTAAATTCAGCTTTGAGATACATATTCAGAACAAATTAGTTTGTGAGCCACCAAAAAACAGGCTTTATGTCCCTACATGATACTTCAGGAATTGTGTTTCTAGAGCTCTAAATGATCTTTTAGATATCATGTGAATGTATGAGTTATAAACCTGGACCAAACCTACATTTTCTCTTCCCCTGAATGTCCACATGTAATTTAGAGGTTAATTACAAATTCCATTGTTTTTGAGAGCTCTCTCTCGGCTCTGGGTAGTGGCAATTTACATTTCCAAGAGCCTCTCAGACCTCTCCAAGTTGTCACACTCATTTTAGCCTAAGAGGGGCCTGTTCTGACTCTCAAGAGGAGGCCAGAACAGAACCCAGAGGCTGGGCTTCCCTCTCCACCTGTATGGATTGCCCAACAGCAGCAGTGATAATCTGAACCCGCCTCCGTCTCTTTATAGTCATGGGAAGGTCAGCTATTTTTTGATCCCCAAGGGAGAAGGAAAGCTTCTCAATCAGTATCTTAAAATAGCCAGCCATTCTCAGCTGCTGGCCTGGAGCCCCTCCAGGGGGAGCAAAGGGACAGGGTGGAAGGGAGAAGCCACCACAGCCCAGCGAGGACCTGCTCCCCAGAGCTTGCCTGCTCGAGTGCCACTCTTCCTCTGTCGTTCCTGAGAAGTTGACTGTTCAGTCAGTTTGTTCCTTCATTTGGAAGGAAACCAGTCAACTGGAAAATGAGACTGAATGTGGCCATTTTCTTTGGGGCTCTCTTTGGAGCTTTGGGGGTTTTGCTGTTTTTGGTAGCTTTTGGATCGGATTACTGGCTTCTTGCGACTGAAGTGGGCAGGTGTTCAGGTGAACAGAATGTGCGTTTCTTCTTCAAAATACCGATGTACTTCATAGCAATGAGAGCAGCTTCATGCGTTATCTGGAAGGACAGCAGTGGGGCGTTTGTCTCTTCATGGGAGAGATATGTAGGGAGGTAGCGGTCGTCATTCTTGGGGACTGTAGGCTCTGAGAGGTAGCAAGCTTGACTGTACTCGGGCTGACCATGGGCCACTTGTCTTCTGTGCAGATAGAAAACATCACTTTCCACCACGAAGGCTTTTTCTGGAGGTGCTGGTTCAACGGCGTGGCGGAGGAGAACGACTCCAGCATCTGGAAGTTCTGGTACAGTAAGTGCAGCTGGCCTGTTTTTCCTTCTTTGTCTGAGACAAAGGCAAGCAGCCTCCTAGGTAGTACCTGTCACTGCAAGTGGAATGGATTCCTTCATTGTTCATTCTCGGTAGGGTAGCATCAAAGGGTCACAAACCGACCTTTACAGGAAGGAGAAACGTCGCTAGGAGTAATTTCTATTCTGTCATAAGAGTAGAAGTCTGATTATTTATAATAAACTTGAGTACCTGCTGTTTCTCTGGCCATATTTAAAATCCACTCCCTCTAATTAAAAAAGCAGATTTTTGTCCACGCTGGTTTCTTTTCAAGTGTCTATTATTGCTATGTTTCAAATAAGTGTTTCGGAAATTCCTTTGGCCATAAACTAAAATTTCAAATACAAAAGCCCAGAAATAGAGGTATTATTTTGTATTCGTAGCTTAAGGTTTTTTTTCTTAATCTTTTTTTTTTTAATGAAACTTAATTACAAGCGGTAGCAGGTGAATGCCGCCTTCATTGGGCTTCACCCAAGTTTGTAGGCAACATGAAGAAAGCCTTCCTTTTGACGCTCTGTTCTTACAGGGGAGTTTAAAGTCCTCTTTGAAGCCCAGGAACTTGAAGACTGTGATGCATTCCTTGAACTGTATTCCTTCTGCTGTGTTTATCTTTGCAAAGCAATTCACCAAAAACAGCTACTTGTCATCTATTATCCTCAGCAATAGGAGAGCTAGCTATTAGCCTAAACCTTAGCGGGCTTAAGCGTATAGTCTTCTTTTCAAATTCTCCTGTCAGTCCCTTGCTCTGTGTGTGTGTGTGTGTGTGCGTGTGTGTGCGCGCGCGTGCTGCGACTTGTCCCTAGACTGACTAAAGCTCTGGTGACCTTACATCCTCCTCATAGATTTTGCCACCTTAGCCACTGTCAGAATACAGACTTAGACCTTGAAACCTCAGTGCACATGGGACAAATTTTAAGATTTTATAGGACATAAGAGTTATTCTTGTTTTCTCAAATGCTGGAATTTTGTTTGAATTCTTAATTTTAATATCCCATTATTTGTATCTTTTCTCTAACATTAGAATGAATACAAAAGAAACTTTCTGATAGTGTGAACAAGTCAAAATCAAGCCTAACTGCATTAGGTTCCCAAGACAGGCATTTTGAATACCTGTCGTGTGCCAGGCATCCTATTGGTAGAAAGAATATATGAAAGTGGGTGCAGTTTTGTGCCTGTACTTTCAGACCCTGTGGTAATCTGTGTCCCTTCCATCCAATTCCAGTTGTTTCAGAAAACACTCGTTCCAAGAACTCCATGTTTTTCAGTAGCATTTTTGTCTCCTGGCAGGGCCCGGCGCTTGTTGAAGGGCCAGGAGTTTTGTTTTGCGTGTGTGTTTTGCTGGTTCCTGGGTTCTCATTCCATCAGGCATGCGTCATCTCCAAGCCGTCAGTAATTGCTCTGCTCTTCTTTCCAGCCAATCAGCCGCCATCCAAGAACTGCACACACGCGTACCTGTCCCCGTACCCCTTCCTGAGGGGTGAGCACAACTCCACCTCCTACGACTCTGCGATCAGTGAGTACCCCTGGCCTCCGTGTGGCTCCCAGGATGCCCTGGCTGAACAGTTTTTACAATGAAAAACAGTTTAACACCTCTAAGTACAGCGCTCCATCTGCTTGCCAAACGTAAAGCGTCGATGTTTGAGCACATCTTTTAGAAGTCCAATTAAGCACATCTTTGGTCTAAAATTGCAGCCGTTGTAGTACTGCCTATTTGTGCAAATGGTTTTAAGTGCAGCTTTGAGCTGGAAGGTAGCGTGTCTGTCAGAAGGGCTGCTTGCTGCACACGGCTAGTCAAAATGTTCTAGTGTGCCCCCTACTTAGGCTTTTCTGTAGCTGTTCCACATGAAACGCGGAACGCTACCCTGTTCATAGAAGTGGATTAAGTCTGTTGAGTGTGGCTGACCATCGACAGAGTGAAAATCCAGTAATCGAAGCATCAGTACAAACTCTCAGTTCATTACAGAAAGTCAAATGTATTGTTCTGAAAAAAAATCCTAATCCATGTAATGTTTTGAATGAAATTATATTGGCCAGAGTTCTACAGAGCAGAAACAGCGAATATATATCTTTTGCTGTATGTTTGGCAGACTGTTCTAGAAATCCCCATAGCTACCCCAGCCCTCAGCGACTGAAGTGATAGAGCAGTCACAGGTAACCCGCTCGCCTCCGTCTAAACACGTTAGGCCACGTCTAGATTTCCTATACTGCATATTGAGCATGCAAATTGTATTTAAGTGAGTGTTCAGCTGTATCATTATGGAGTGCCAATAAGCATGAGACAAGTGGCTTGGTAGAGGCACGCTTCTTTTCCGAGAATTTATAGCTCACAACTGGACGAAACCATAGGTGTGGAAACTGAGGCTTAAAGCGGAGAGCCACACAAAAACTGCCTGTCATTCACATCTGCCACTACCATCTGTCTGCCTGCCTGCCTGCCTGCCTGTCTGTCTACCTATTGATTTTAAGGATATTTCCAGGTAACTGTGGGCCTGGGAAGTCTGAGGTCTGTTGACGAAGTTGGTAGGGTGGACATTGAGTGTCATCTTCAGGAACCCCGTCCTTGCTCGTAAGGCCTTCACAGTGTTGAGTGAAGCCCACCGTTTACAGAGAGCGATGTGCTACGCTCAGCAGAAGTCAGCTGATTACAGGAGCTAATGAGATCTAAACGGAAACCTTTGCAGGAATATCCAGCCTCAAGTATGACCCGGGAGCAATAGTGCGTGCGACATAGCATTAACTCTCTCAAAACTAAGAGAGCTTCACAAGGCTCAGAAGTCAACTGTTTTTCTGCTTTCTGTCAAAAATACATTCATTACGATTTGTGTTTATGAAAGGCAGTAGCATTTGCCTCTGTGGCAGCCCCTTTGACAATTTATGGAAGAAGTGTCTAGTCTGGACAGGAAGAAAGGCAAGGATGAGGTCTCCTGCAGCGGGGGGCATCCAGACATTCCTAAGGACTGTGGCCTTCAATGCTGGCCCTGATGTGTGCTCCCACGAAAGCGGAGGAAGGCATCTCCTGCATCCGTCTGAGACTCCTGTGCCCTGGAGGGAGCAGGCTCCAGCATTGACAGCAGAGGACAGGGGTGAGACAAGCAGGAACATTGGAAGGTATTTGGTTACAGGACACTCACACAGCCGTCCCTTCCCCACATTTCTTAGTTTTAGAAAGTAAACTAAGAGGCAACATGGGGTTGGATTTCCAGGAATCAGGGTCTTTACCTCAATGTCAGTGTTGCCACTATCATCCCTGTGCCGAGGTCCTTCAGTGAGAGAGGTCTTACAGACACCATGTACTGAGAGCTTGTGCACCCTGAGGAGATGCTGGAAAACTATGGAAATGGCGCATCATCAGCTGCGCATAATAATTATGCTGGAGATGGAGAGTAAGTGCATGTCCTGGGAATCCCACTGCAATTATGCTCAGAATTACTATGTAGCACTTGGTATAATTATTATGCCCATAATTTGGACCCAGTGACAAAAATCGTATCCAATTTTTAAAAACCATACCAAACTCCTGTTTGGCATCCAGATGTAACTTCATGTTCTCTTCAAGGAGCCTAATTGGACACTGAGTAAAAATGACAAAGTTGAACAAAGACATGTCCTGGAACAGGACTGAGTTGTATGTTTCATGTGTTGGCTAATGAGGAACGAAGTTGTCCTTTGTTTCCTACATTCATGGAAATGGCAGAGATTTCCTGAGTGTAGCCTACCTGACGTCTGTGTTTGCATTTCCTAGTTGATGAGACTTGCGTTCCCTAGACCCCAAAGCTGTTTTGTAGGCAGCTCTAAGGAGTTCAGTAATTACCAGGTATGACAGCCATTTTCAGTAACTTGGAGGTATGGTTTATAAAATTTGAAATATCATGGCCTGGAAAATTGCTGATATGAGTTTCCACTCACGTGAGTTTTAGGATGGGCGTGGGTCAGCGCTGGTTTCTGTGTGAAAATGGAGCAGCACACACTCACACAGCCAGTTATCAGCAGAACTAACACACAGCCCCGTCTCTGGCTTCCGTTCCATTGCAATTTTATAAACTACAGTGAAAGACAAGGCCAAGTGTGGGCACTTAGTGCGAAGAGCCAGGAGTTTGGTGTCACATGACTGGATTTAGCAGGCAGGTGGGGGATTCACGTCTAGCCTGGGCTACACAGCCATTCTCCATCTCAGAGACACAAAAAGAAAATCAAGCAATCAGCAGTAAGAAAGTGTGTTTTTTATGACTTCATCTGAACCAAATCTGCGTGGACATTTGGTTATAAATCAGTGTTTTCTTTAAATATTTTTAACTCTCAACAATAGCCTGAGAGAATTGTTCATTCTCAAATTAATGTAACGGAAAGGTTGTCCAAGCTTAGTGAAGGTGCTTAATTCTTAATTTAAACAGGCTTGAGTAACCAGCCCCCTGGCGTCCTGCCAGGGGTTAGGTGTCCTGGCTGCTTGATGCTTGTGCTCGCCACAGTTCTCTTGTTCCCATGAACTGGTGGTGACAGACTAGATGTACTTTTGTCTTGAGGATGATTCAGCTCTGACTGGAGTAGCAGCTTCCTGTGTTGGTGTCCCCGTCGCCGCTGGCCTCTGCCCACCTCTAGGCAGCAGCATGCTTGTGTGGTCGCCTCCCTTGGCTTCTTCCAGCTCTGCAGCAGGGCAGGGCACACGAGCCGACTTTTATTTTTATTCACAGTGATGTTTCTAGAAATTACTATTACTTCTTAACTGGGAAATGGTGATAATTTGTGGAGCCATGATTTATATCAAACTAATTGTTAGAAGCTGGAGACAGCTCAATGGTAGAGCATTTTCCTAGCATGTGCAATCATCAGTGAATCAGGCTGCATACAGGCTACCCTGCCTCTCTTTCTCCCTTTCTTTCTCCCTCCCTCCTTCCCTCCCTCACTCCCTGTCTCCCCCTTCCTGCCCCCTCCCTCACCAAATGGTGTTCAAGTAAGAAAACTAAATAACAACAGAAATGTGAGAATGAAGAGAAAGAGGGTGTGTTTAGAAGTGAAAGATGCGGCAAAGGTTTGGGATCAGATGTGTTAAGTTTGAGCTGGTCATGGAACCAGTTTGGAAGGAGTAGCTTGAAGCACAAAATCAGTTCCTGAAAGGTACCAGTTAGCACAGCAGTTCGTGATGAGAAAGAGCAGGAGCAGGTTTTGATTTTGTGTGCAATCTTTTCGAAAATAATCCTGGGAACCAAGGCATTAATGTGTGAGGGCAAGAAGCAAAAAAGGACAAACAACCCAAAGTGGGGGACAGCAGAACTGGGGACACATTCACGAGCAGAAGGGCCATGGAGGAGAGCGAGGAGGCATGGTCTCCAGTGACAAAAGCAGAAGGAAAGGGAACCAAGAGGCACAGGCAGGAACCGGGTCATGAGCTAATGATGCCCAAATGACCAAAGCAGCCCGTCTTCACCAACGCTCTGCTGCCAGTGTCCATCAAGACTGCCGATTCTGATTCCTGCTTCTTCCCTTAAACCTGCCTGCCCTGCTGGTTCCACTCTGGCCTGCCAGACCTCTGCTCTACAGGGCATTCTGGCTCACTGCCTTCTTAAATTGAAATGGAGGCTCTCCTTCTGTTGATGCCCTTCTCCGCCCCTGGGGAACTCATTTCCAGTTCTTGCACATTTTATCACCTCCTAATCCACACGAGAGCCAAGTCCCACTCTAGGCTGGCCCTTCCTCCTCCTTCTCCCAAGGGACAGCCTAATAAGCCCCTCATAGAGGGTGGGGCCTCAGGGTTCCAGGAATGTGAAACCTCCCAGGGATGGCAGTGAGAAAGAGGAGAGTCATGTGGTCAGCCAGGACCACAAGAACACAGCATGACTGGGGGGCCTTCCAAAACCAGCCACGCAAACTCATCCTACTGGGCTGCACAGAGCAACATCGCATTTCGAAATACACGCCTGGGCATTTGGCTCTTCTCTCTAGCTCGGGAATTCAATTTGAGTGGAGTTCAAGTAAATGCTTCAAGTATGTAGTAGATACAGAGGCAAACCCTTGGTGCTTAATCCTCTTACTAGGATGTCTCCCAGTTTCCACTTGTAGATCAACTTTCTGGGGTGTCTCTGGTTCATTTATTAATTTTTTTGCTTATCCCTAGATATCAATTCTAGATATCAACTTATCAAATTTACCATTCTAAATTTCACAAGTCTTACAAGCATTTCAAATTTACCTAAGCAGAAAAAACAATGCTTCAAAACTGAGTAGAAAATTGGGTTCTGGTTTGGGGCCTTTCCTTTGAAGACAGTAGCAAAGGCAATATATATATTTTTTTAATTACTAATTGCTGGCAGTACGGTTGGCACTATTCTGAGTGCTTCAGGATAGGCTTCAGGATAAGCCCTCATAAACATAACATCCTATGGATAAGGCGAAATGAAACAAAACAAAAATCCAGACACAAACCAGACCCACCCAGCACAGCACTGTGATGGATGCTTGCAAGGCGGGCGGGGAGTGTAAGTTCTAAGCAATAGGAAAGGGAGGGCCACACTGGAATGA